GAGCTGCACTGCCGATCATTGCGAAGGTCCTTGAATCCTGGTCGCTGTACGTAAACACCCAGAAGACGGAATGGGTCACAGTATCGTCAACAACAGAAAATTGGAAAACAGTAAAGCAGCTGGGATCACTCATGGCAACTAACGAAGACATCCAAAGGCGAAAGCAGCGGGCAACGATTGCCTTCAAGAACATGTACACTCTGTGGCTGCGGAGGGAGCATGTCTCAGAAGCTCGCAGAGTTCGCCTCTACAACGCATATGTTCTGCCGACCCTATTGTACAATTGCTGTACGTGGGGATCAACAAAGGCAGTCAGTGACAAGCTGGACGTGTTCCACAGGCAACAGCTTCGCTCGCTACTGGGCATACATTACCCCAATCGTATCACAAACATCGAGTTATACCGGAGATGTCAGAGCCAGTCCATCTCCGAGGAAGTCCACAGACGAAGAATGACCATGCTGGGACATGTCCTACGCCTACCCGAAGACACACCACCGCAACAAGCCATGGCACTCTACTTCAATCCACCGAACACAGCCAAGCCAGGAAGACCTCTGACTACTTTAGTCACCCAGATCCAGCAAGACTGCGTCCACAGACAAACGCCACTCAAGAGGAGCCCGCATCTGCAGAGCCTCCGGCAGAAGGCATCCGACAGGCAAGTGTGGAAGGCCTTCGTAAAAAACGCACAGTGAACACTGACGAAACAGAAGTTGCCCATCCTTCTCAGTGCTATTTGCTTATTGTCGATTTGTAAACCGTACCTTGCAGTCCATGTCTTCCCTTGTCATCATCATAATAGTATAGTTTTGTCTCTCTCCTTCTATTGCTCAGGAACACAGAGGCGGAAAGAGGCTGGTCCTCAAGTACGCGAAACTGTTCATAATAATAATAATTAACAACCACACAAGCCGACCTGTTTGGGAGCTATTACGCGTTGTATTATCAGGGCATAGGCAACAATTGCCGCATGCAGTATGCAATACTATGGACCAATGCCGTAGTATCGCAGGCAACAATTGCCGCATGCAGTATGCAATACTATGGACCAATGCCGTAGTATCGCAAGCACCAATGTGCGTTAGACTGGCCAATGCCAGGGCTAATGGGGGCAACAATTGCCCGGCGTGTCAATACACGCATACGGTAGGGATGCACTTGTGAGCACATGTAGGCGCACTTGGCTCAATGCCGGCCTGACCCACGATCCCTACCGTTCTCCCAAAATACAACATGACCCAAACAGGAATTATCGGCATTACTATAGTTATAGTAGCGTTACTATAGTTATAGTATAATAGGTATATCATATGTACACTACAGCTGTTGCTAGGGCCGTCCAATGCGGCTACCCATTAGCATAACGAGCAGAGACTAGAACAATGCCGCTGGCAATGCTCTGTCTGCGACAGGGGTGCGGACATAGCGGAGGTAGGCAGAGCTTTGCCACCTGCCGGCGGTCTTCAGCACGTACTCAGGCACGCCAGCTTTGCCTGCCAGCGTTGCAGCGCCTCGTCTGAGGCTGTGGCTGCGCACGTCTTTGTTAGGCAAGGCTGTTTGTAGAAGCCTGTTGATGTTATGCGGCTTCAGGGGCGTGCCGTCATCATAGCGATAGAGCGGGCCAGGTGCCGAGCCACGGGCTGCTAGGTAGCTGGTGGCTGCCGTGTGCGGGCATGTCGGCGAGCCTGTCCTCCTGACGCTAATGTCCTGGCCGCTGCCGTATTGGCTCGTCTTTGTCACACGCAGGCGCAGCTCCACGCGGTCTGGGTACATGGTCGCATCGCTGTACTCAAGGCCGGCGCCCCGTGCCGTGAAGGTGTACTCGTTGACTCTGAGCAGCCCGTGGAAGGCCAGAGTCACGGCGCTCCAGAGCATGGCGCGGTTGTGCGGGCTAGGCACGGTGGACTGCAGGTAGTGCTGTACGCCAGCCAGATCGTCCAAAGTTGCGGCCCGCGTCGTCAACTGCTGAAGGGTGGACTGCGCTGGTTGTGTCGGCACTGCGTCGGCAGTTGGGCTGCGAGTCCAGAAGCGTCGACAACCTGACCCAAAAAGGATTTATCTACATTACTATTACACTACAATTGATGTGAGTGCCGTCCAATGCGGCTGCCCATTAGCATAGTGGGCAATGCGCTCAACGTACCGGATATGGAACAATGCTGCTGGCACTGATCAGTCACTGGGTATGGCTTGCCCTAGTGCGGGGTGACAAGCGTTCGGAGCGCTGCAGCGAAGCGTATGTTGTGCTGGAGCTGCCCGCCAGGCCCTGGCGGATGAGGTCCATGGTTGCGTCATCGACTGCTGAAGGGTGGACTGCGCTGGTTGTGCCGGCACCGCTTCGGCAGTTGGGCTGCAAGTCCAGACGCGCTGACAACCGGACCCAGACAGGATTTATCTGCATTACTATTACACTGCAATTTATGTGAGTGCCGTCCAATGCGGCTGCCCATTAGCATAGTGGGCGATGTGCTCGAAGTACAGGATCTGGAACAATGCTGCCGGCACTGATCAGTCCCTGAGGTTGGCTTGCCCTGGCGCAGGGCGACAAGCGTTCGGAGTGCTGCGGCGAAGCGCATGCCATGCTGGAGCTGTCCGCCAGGCCCTGGCGGATGAGGTCCATGGTTGCGTCGTCAACTGCTGGAGGGTGGACTGCGCTGGTTGTGTCGGCACCACTTCGGCAGTTGGGATGCGAGTCCGGCAGCGCTGACAACCTGACCCAAACAGGATTTATCTGCATTACTATTACACTGCATTTGATGTGAGTGCCGTCCAATGCGGCTAGCCATTAGCACAGTGGGCAATGCACTCAAAGTACAGGATCTGGAACAATGCTGCCGGCACTGATCAGTCCCTGAGTGTGGCTTGCCCTGGCGCAGGGCGACAAGTGTTCGGAGCGCGGCAGCGAAGCGCATGTTATGCTGGAACTGGCCGCCAGGCCCTGGCGGATGAGGTCCATGGTTGCGTCGTCAACTGCTGGAGGGTGGACTGTGCAGGGTGTGTCAGCACTGCGTCGGTAGATGGGCTGAGAGTCCGGAAGCGCTGCACTCGAAGACGAGTAAGAGACTTAGCAGGATCATTGCAGAGTCGCTGTTGGGCTGAGAGTCCACATCAGCTGGTCTGTTGAACGGAAGGGGGGGAGGATCTAAGGCCAAATGGTGGTGCCTTATCTACATGGTACGAACCTTCCCAAAAATGCCAAGCCGGGGCCAGACATGAGGGGAAACAGGCCAAAGCCGCCAGGCATACTTCGTGTCAGCTTTAGAGAGAAGAGCTCAGCATCAGGGACCTAAATTTCCGAGCCATCTTCAAGATTATGGGCTGGTGCGAAAACAGCTCCGGGGGCCCTGGAGGGGTGTGCTGCTGCGTCAGTCGCACAATACGTGCTCCAAGCGTCGCGAACCTCCTCCCGACTAAAGTCTCCCAGGCCAGGGATGGGGCTGCAGTTGCCTCGGCTAGGTTCTGCTCCGCTGCCGGAGCGGCCAAGTCCTCGCGTACAGTAGTCTGGAGCCAACTTCAACTCGAGCAGGCGAGTCCGCGGAGTAGGTTTTGTTCCTGTCGGGTCTAAATAATTGCGGGATGCCAGTGCGTTTCGCAGCTCAGCAGAGCGCATTTTGGCTGGACATCGCTCACTGACAGAGACATGGTTGATCGGATATTGATCAGAAACTGGCCGTGATTGTCAAACAATTTGACCGTCAAGGCAGCAAAGCAAAGAGCGTTATGGCTGGACATCGCTCACTGACAGAGACATGGTTGATCGGATATTGATCAGAAACTGACCGCGATTGTCAAACAATTTGACCGTCACTGCGTCAGCGCAGCAAAGCAAACGGAGCGTTTTGGCTGGACATCGCTCACTGACAGAGACCTGGTTGATCGGATATTGATCAGAAACTGGCCGCGATAGTCAAACAATTTGACCGTCAGCACAGCAAAGCGAAGAGCAAGCTCAAAAACTGGCCAAGGTTGTCAAGCGATCTGACTGTTGGCGCAGCAAGGATGAAGAAGAAACAGCATCGAGAGCCGGAGTAATGCGCATGCTCCGCGTGGTCCCGTGCCGGGGCGCGGGAGTTCGGAGTGCGTGTTCTGCGCGGGCACGTGATGCGCTATGGCAAGTACGTGCAAATTATGTTAGGAATGTAATTGTTGGTGGGTTGCTAACTTCACTTACCGTGCCATGCAAGGAAACTTATATTCATAATGAATGGCAACGATGCTTCATGTTATCAGCTTAGTTTTAGTCTCATATGAAAGGTGATTCTACCAGCTTTCCAGAATTACAAAGGTGTCCATAAAGTTTTGTTTACCGTTTAGTCTCTATTCTCAGTCTAGTGGACACGGTCATGTTCCTCGAAGTTGCTAATTCGGCCGCATTGCTTGAATTATTGTTCGCCATGACTGGCAACGACGCTACATGTTATCAGCTTGTTTCTAGTCTCGTATTCTACCAGCTTTCCAGAACTATAAAGGTGTCAATACATAATTATTCACCGTTTAGTCTCTATTCTCAGTCTAGTGGACAACGTTATTTACATACAAATCCTGCGGCTGGTAAAGGGTTAGTATTGCAATAAAGAGGACGAGCTGAAGTGACATTGGATTACTTTATTAAACAATGCCAAGCGATGGAGACGAATTTTTGAAGAAAAAACAATATTAATTCTCACACTGGAGCTGAGGGTTTTCCTCTGACTAGACTTGCTTGACTCACGGCTGTTATGCCTAGCATTGGCTTATAGGGTCAGTGTATCATGTGTTGTCATAATACCACTGGGTCATGTGTTGCCATGGTATCATAGGATCATGTGTTGTCATGGTATCACTGGGTCATGTGTTGTCATGGTATCACTGGGTCATGTGTTATCATGGTATTACTGGGTCATGTGTTGTCATGGTATTACTGGGTTATGTGTTGTCATGGTGTCATTGGATCATGTGTTGTCATGGTATCATTGATTGTGCCTTGTGGAAACACACAATTTAAATACACTATGCAGAATTTGAAGAAAACTGCTACTAAAGACGAACTGGCTGCTGTTCGCAAGGAGGCAACTCGTGTCAGCAAGTCGGTGCTTGCAGCTAAACATGGCGCAGCTGCAGCAATGGAGAGGAGCAACGAAGCCTTAGCTCAGGTACAGATATCTTGATGTACATACTAGATATGATAGTGAGAGTTCCCAGATTGCCTAGAGTTCTCAACACCACAAGGATGGAGCATTACCACAAAGGCACAAGAGAACAGAGACAGCCGGCTAGGTCATTGTTGTAACGCTGCGTTTCATGCACATAGCAAAGCTAAGGCAATCCTCAGACAACTGATAACCTGTACATCATCTGGGTCCAAATTTATACCCAGGCAGGTAGCTAAAACAGGGCGCCGCAAAGTGAGTGAAGCGCGAAAAAGCAGGTGGCATAGCACGCAAAGGTGGCAAAAACGCGACATTAGTGTGACATTTCAAGTGATGCGTTAGTTAGGAAGACATGGTGCGGATGGTGTCGGTTATTAAATGGGAGGTGAGAAAAGGAGGGAGAGAAGGAGGGGTGACAGTCAAGTTACAGCGACGACGGGCAGGCAGGCAGGCCCTGACCTGGGCGTGGTGGCGGCAGGCATTTGCCGGCGTCGGCATGCAGGTTGAGGAGCGTGGCTGCGTCAGCGCGGATGATTATGACCTTTTCCGCTAAGCACAGACCGCATCATTTTGAGATGTTGCTGTAGGTCTTTGCTCTGTCGGCAATGGACCACCTGATGTCGTACTCTTCACCCTGGTCCTGCAGTGCCCACAGGTGCTTCGACAGCTGCGTGCTTTTGCGGTACTTTTCGTATCTCATAGTCGTGAGGTGGTTGCCATAGCGGGTCTTGAACGGTGTCTTGCAAAGCCCGAAGTACCGCCTCTCGTCACCTGAGCTCCGAGCCGTGACGTTCGCTTGATAGACCAACCTTTCCTGCAAACACCGGCCGTCCAGAGGGCAAGAGGGTTTAGCTCGGCAGTTGCATTCCTCTACTGGTTTTCGCACGTCGGCCGGGGCCAGCACTTTCTGGTTGTACCCCTTGATTATGCAGGCCATGTTGGGCATACACGAGTAGCTGACCTTGACCTCCCGGCATCGTCACCTCTTAGTAAAATTTTCAACATAAATACGGTCAAGGTCAGCTACTCGTGTATGCCCAACATGGCCTGCATAATGGCGCGCTATGCCACCTGCTTTTTCGCGCTTCACTCACTTTGCGCACCCTGTTTTATCTACCTGCCTGGGTATAAATTTGGACCCAAATGATGTACAGGTTATGAGTTGTCTGAGGATTGCCTTAGCTTTGCTATGTACATGAAACGCAGCGTTACAACAATGACCTAGCCGGCTGTCTCTGATCTCTTCTGCCTTTGTACATACTATATACATGTGTGTGGGGGCAAGCGGAGTATTGTGTGTGTGTGTGTGGGGGGGGGGGGAGTTAGAAAGAGAGGGTGGACGGTAGAGTTGTCTGCTCGTTGTTTGGCAGAGATGATGGGGGGGGGGGGGGGGGGTGACTTAGAGGGCAGATTCAGCTGGAAAGTTTCTTTACTGGAGAGCCTTTATTCTAACGAGGCGCATATATGGCCCGCTATCTGAGACTTTCGACCTTCGGGGCTACGCGATTTTTTAAGTTTGTTCGCAAAAAATCGATTCCGTCAAAGCAAAGTGCAGAGGCGGAAGAAAATTGAAGGCGATTCTTCTATCAGTTGGTTATTGGGCTCATGGAGGACAGCAGCCGCGATCCCATGGACGGCGATAAATCGTTCTTTGTGGGTATCCTGTCAAGCGTCGACAGGGCTTCTAGTTCTGAGAGCGCATGTCAGGCGAATCGATTGCAAGTGACACGCGGTACTTACCTGTCGGCGATGATGAGGACTTGGCCTGGATGAGTATGATCAAGGCCAAACACAGTCTGCCTCAGCGATAGCTGCTACAGCTCCAGGCAAGGACAACCAGGTTAATTCATGAGGGTACGCCGCTTGCAAGGTTGCTGGCTGCCCTTGCGCGGGTAGCGGAACTGTTTCCTGACCTGATTGTCACGACAGACCTGCTAAAACAGCACAATATGATGCGAGTTTTCTTCGCGACGATGATCCTAAAATGTTTTGGATGGCAGGCTCGATACTCGAGCTAATAATAGCGAATCAGACCATCGCGGAGCACATGAGGCTGGGCAATCTCGAGTCACATTCTGTTACTTTTGAGTTGGTGGTGTGAAACGCTTGTCAGGCTGTGTTACTGATGTTTGGAAATAATTCCGTCAGTCTCTACAAAGTGCAACAAGGCGAATCTGGACGCATTTGCTCTATTTGACTCCTTCACAATAATTATGTGAATGCTGTTATCATGGTGTTCCGTCAAAATTTGTTGCAGACTATCCTGTCAAGCATGTCCATCACCAGGAGAGCAGATAAATCACCTCTCCTTCTAATGCTGCTATTGTTGCTGTTGCAACTACACAGCCACAATAAACCCACGGAATGCTGGAAATGAAGTACCTGAACAGTCAAAACAATCTACTATATTAGTTGGCTATTGATATCACATGGAAACAATTTTTGATGGCTCCAAACACACTGATCAGAAATTCTAAAAAAACCCATTAACATGACTCCTGACTGTAAAATGTATTTCTACATGGTCAATATCGGTCTGATGGCTGTAAAACGAAGTCACAATACTCTACACAGGCTCGACATCAATTTGCAATAAAAAAAATCAATTTCATCAAAACAGCCCAGAAGGTCAATTTTCTCAGATATTGGGCCATTATAACGATTTCCCAAAATTGACTACTCTCAAACGAGAAAGTCTAATGAGTCACAAAGTCTAACGTTTTACGACAAATTTATTTTCGTTATTTGAAAAAACGTTAACGCTAGATGTCTGTGTGTAGATGCTCATACAGATGGGTGGCCAGGTAGCCATCGTTAAACTTTCTGCACGTTATCATGCCAAAATTACAAAAATGTTAAACGTTTTGGTCGTTAGACTTTCCGGGTTTACAGGAGTTAACGTGTCCCAAAGGTAACGATTCTCATTCATTTTCAACGCTCAATAGGACAGTATATGTATCGATTTCTGTATAACCATGTCTATTTTAACGACAGATCTCTCCTCGTTAACTTGTTAGAGTTAGCACTTCGTTATATGAGCCCGAGGGCGCTAAAACATGACCACAGCTTTTTTTTGAAAAAGTCGAGATAATCGCGATTTGAATTCCGCGGCAAAAAATACGAAGTGCAGTGCAACGCGAGTCACTGTTGTTGTTCTCCTCGGTCGACTGGACTGTTCCGGATGCAATTCTTTGTTGCAAGTAAGTCTATTTGTTTGAGTTTGTATTCCATGTTGCGCTGAGTCGCCTAAAACTGATCGTCATCGATGTATCGACAGAAGAGCCTAGTAGTAGTAATGTACTGCGGAGCGGAAGAAGACGACATCATCGCACTCCATGCGCAGGATAAAATATTTTGAGGATTCGGGTCGGAAAGGGAAGGAAGGCAATGATGGCTACAGCGACGAGTCATTTGAGGGCGACACTTTCATCGAGCGTAAAAAGAATTGATGCTGGTAGTCCCACGATCTGCAGTGACGAGGAATTCTACTCTGATGACAACCTGGCAAGCGATTGGCATCGACACTGACTTGGGAGGTGAGTCGGCCGATGATTTGGCCAGAATGGACATCGCTGCACATATCCGGGACAATGCCAGTATTGGTTGCAAGTGCAAAAACAATCAATGGACTCTGCTGCTCCCTCAACTTGCTCAAGTCGATAATTTGAGTACCCTCATGCGGAACATCGTTAGCACGAGCAGTATGCAGCGAAAGCAGTACTCACTGGCGAGCGGAGAAAACCGTGTGCAGATGGGCTTCAGTGTGGGGAATATGAGTGTGACGTATAGCATGTTGAGGAAGACTGTGTGCAGCAGTGTATACTGTATATCTGAAAGTACAGGTGGAGTGTGATGGAGAGGACATGGAGTGCCAACTTCTTCGGCAATCTACAGATGTTGACCGTGTTTTCGCTGGCGGTTCTCCAGTGGTGCTCCGAACAGGAGGTATTTCGGACACCCAGCTCAGCTGCATAGACAATTAAATATTTTGATGTGGCTGAGTACCTGTCAGCTCATGCTATAAGACCCTGGACAGAGGAGCTGACCCGGAAAGGATAAACCAGGGGCATATCAATTGTGTGCAAAAATGACAATCCCATTGCTGTACATAGAAGTTCACCATTTCAATGGTGCTGCATATAATACCATTGTAGCAACACTTAGACATGTCCGATCAATCCAAAACTTTCAGACAGTGAACATTAGGTGTGTTAGATCATTTTTGAACAAAAAGTGAAAATCGAATTTTTGGTCTGAGGTCATTATTTTAGCGTGCTCTGGCTCATATTATGGCTTTTACAGTAGTTGACCAAACAACACCCAAGATTTAAAAACCTTTTTTTTCTAATTATAGAGTGTGCGTTTGCGTAATGCATCGGACTGCATAGAGCTAAAGATGACGATGAAATATTTTTAACTTAGGCCAGGGGTCAAATCTGGTTTAGCAGTTAGAGCTGCATAACTCATTAGTACCTGACTCTGACCTTGTTTCTAAGTTCAGAATTATGTTACTGCTGCCTCACTTTCGTCTCACTGTTATGTTACTGCCTGCTCACTATGATGTCACTGTGATGTCACTGTGATGTCATTGTGATGTCACTGTTATACTGTGAAAGGGCCTGATGGCTCTGTGATTCCACTGTGATGTTGTTGGGCGCTTTCGATTTCACAGTCTGGACCCAGGTTTTTAAATCCGGATTCGTCAGGCAAAATAGCACGTCATAGTACATTTGAGATCAGCGGAAGAAGATGACGACGTCCACTAATTTAGTATCTGTGCACACGAATCTGCTGCGTGTGTGACTCTGTGTGTCAGCTATGATATCATCCCCTGTGGTTCCATGCCTAGCATGTACGTCTGAACCATCCTGCAAAGTTTGAATGACGTAGGTTGAGCGATCGCTCCGCGAAACATACTTTTTGAAATTCTCTTCATAGTACATCTTCCACCATTGAAATTTCGAATTTTTTGCTGGGCTGGGTGGCTTGCAACCTCGGTATGGCTTGTTTCACGCATGCTTTGGAGCCATCCCCAGTTGAAGTAGTGGCGGGGATCCGCCCTGCAACTGCTACAACAAAAAATGATTCGATCTGAGAAAGGGTGAGACCGCGAATCTCGGTTGAATATTGAGTATTTCAAGCCTTTTCACGACGAAGATGGAGTTCTTTTTGGAGATGGACGTCGCGGCAAAGGACATGGTGTCCGACTTCTGGCATCTGGTGAAGCCAGGGATCATTTGTCCAGTCAGGTCGGCAGCCTAACCGTCGGTAAAATTGTGTTTGGATCTCGTTCTGCTCAATGCGGTAGATTACAAACAATTTGATATCGCACAAATTGATCTCAGCATCGTGCGTACGGTATTTTATATTCAGAAAATCTCAAAGTGTCTCTGTGTGGCCGTCCTATGTCACGAGAAACTCCAATCAGGCTCCTGTGTCCTATGCTTTCATGATTGAATGTCCACTTCGTTTGAACAACGAACACAACAATCGAGGACGGCTTTGCAATGAAAAATACAGCTATACTGGAGCTGAAAAAAAGAAGAAAAAAACGTGCTCAGGATGAGACTCGAGTACACGCATACTCTCCCTGCGAGTGAAACGCAATTTTTTTGTGAAAAATGCGTATCGCCGACTGACCAGTAATTTCGCCTGACGGCGGCCAAGTAAACAATCCACTAAACGTAAATATCGTGATAGGGGATCACCTATGATCCCGTACACCATAGCACGCACATGCTCCTATCATGGCTTGTACATGTATGTCGAGTACGTCAATTCTGGTGGGTGATTTATCAATTCCGTCCTCCCTTCAGAATTGCTGGGTTTGACGAAATTGGATTCCGTCGATTCTGACAACGGAATTAGTGTAATCAAACAGTGCATGCAACATAACTGATTACTGAAATGTGTGTGAATCAAATGTACACTTTGTGATGTCAGTGTTATGTTGCTATGCCACTTTTATGTCTCATTATTTTGTATCTGTTATCCAGTGACACTCAGTCATATCAGTATTTTCCAATGTCTTGATCAATGTACATTGTGTTTCAGATGGAAGCATTGAAGAGAGACATTCCTTCCACTGATATGACCACTGTCTTGGCTAAGTTGACAGAGATCTCATCATCAATGGCAGCACTAACTGCATCTCAACAAGCTATCACAGTTCAACAAGATAAAACACAGCAACAACTCGGTGTACTTTCGCAGAGACTGGAGAAAGGCAAGTTTACAGAAATTTAGCCCACGCCCACGGGTACACGGTATTACACACCCACGCATGCGAGCACACCTCCGCGGTATGCCCCCACATGAGCGCGACCCAAAACAGCGCCGTTGACTTCAGCGTTTTGGGTGTAAACCACCTCCGCATGCGCACATTCATGCACACACACACACACACACGCGCGCGCACGCACACACACGCACACACACACACACACACACACACACACACACACACATCCATGTGCACAAACATAGTTGCAAATACTCCCACGTCCCCTCTGTGCGTATAACGACGTACCCACACGCGCACTCACAAGCAGATGACACATAGGGTTAGGGGATTCCCCTGACTTCATCTAGATGTTCAATAATATGCTTGATCTACTGTGGCGGACATGGAAATCCAGTCGATTGACCGGGGCCGGCGCCCTCAGCTCGTACAGAAGGCTGCCTGCAGTGCACATGTTGATCCGATGGGATCAGTGCGCTGCAGAGCATAAATGCACGTGTGTACCGCTTACCGACGGCTGCATGGCCAGCACCCTGGGGCCGCTAGACTTGCGACGGGATTTCCATGTCCACAACAGTAGGTCTATTACAGTATTATGGGATGATAGAGCAGTTCCAAAAAAGCAAACGATAATAGTCGCGTCATATCATCACATTCGATCGTCAGTGATCCACACTGCCCACGGGAGGGGGGGGGGGCAGACGCATGAACCAGTGGCGTGTCCAGGATTTGGCTGAGGGGGGGGTTGCGGCCGGGATGGGGTGGGGTAGATGACATCATGCTACTGTCCCAGGTCAGCCATTTTGAAAACTGATGTCAAGGAGCCGTAAATCGGGGGGGGGGGGGGGTTGCGGCCGGGATGGGGTGGGGGTAGATGACATCATGCTACTCTCCCACGTCAGCCATTTTGAAAACCGATGTCAAGGAGCCGTAAATCTCACAAGCATCCTTTCATAAGCAGAGGTAGTACTAAGTCCACTTGTCACTGTGCGCGCTGTTCTTCATGTTCTTGCTGCTCGCTGACAACAGATTCTTCCACGTCTGGCGGAGTGTGACTGTCAGTCCGCTCCGAAAGTTCAATTGGAATAACAGCGACTTCATCAATCCCACTGTTTCCTGTTGGAGGG